TCCGGGCACTGGCTCCCCCAATAAACACGAATCAGTGGCTCCTCCTGGCCTCTGCTTCCGCAGAGAACCTGGGCGCTGCAGGCCGGGACACCCTCCGACTCCCCCAGGCCCCGCGCCTGGGTCTCCCGCGCTCGGGCCAGAGCCGACCTCCTCCTCCATCAGCTCTGCCCCCTGTGCGGCCTCCGCCTCTGCCAGGGGTCCGCTTCCCTCTGACCAGGCCCCTTGAATGTCGGTGTCGCCAGGATGCTGGCCAGTGATTCTTCGATCGCCCCTGCAGTGGCCACGCTCACGACCCCAGCTGCCGCTTGCAGGCCAGCGACTCCCAGATCTAAACGTCCTCCGGCTGGAGGTCCTGCAAGGCAGCAAAGCCTCCCCTCCCTCTCTCTCCCGTGTGCTCTGCCCAATCTGGACTCCATGCGTCGTCGGTCCCTGAGGACCTGCCCTGGTGCCTTGGGGTCCATCTCTTCCGCTCCTGGAATCCACGGTGGTCCCAGCGCTCAGCACCTCCTACCTTAACGAGTACCGTGGGCCCCTCACCCAGTCCCGAAGCATCTTCTAAGTAGATGTGGCCTTGGCACATGTCTCAGGGTGGGTTTACCGGAAGCAGAGGGTGAGACAAGGATTCCTGTGTAGGTGACTGGGCGAGGGAGAGGCAGAAACCATGGTCGTCTCCGGAGTTACCGCAGATGAGGCTCTTCAGATTGGCCTCCTCGGGCTGAGGGAGCTGGGTTAATTTGTTCCAACCCCTCCCGCAGCAGGGAGAGGAGAGAGCTATCAGTGCTGCAGCAAGATGCTTTCTGTCCCCTCAGGGCTGGAGGAAGTACAGCCTGCTAATCAGAAGGTGCGGCCAGGCCAGGACCGAGGGTGTACTACGCGTAAGGCGGCCGGGCTCCGGGACAGGCCGGAATGGTGTCTCCCTGAGCTCTCTGCTTGCTGATCTCCACAGACCCCACTGCAGAGCCTGCCCCCTTCGTCCTCGCCTGCCCTCTTGCTGCAGCCCTTTCCTTCTCCTCCTCATGGCTCCTCAGTTTTAAGAACCGCCTGTCCTCACACCTGTACTTACATAATTTCTTCCTCTGCTCCGCCCTTCTTTTAGGTGATCGAGGAGGCTCAGCTGTATATGCTAGGTTATTTAATGCAACTGGCAGTGGTATAGGAGTCGGGCTTCCTCCCGCTCCTCCCGCTCCTCCTCCTTCTTTTTTTTTTTTTTTTTTTTTTTTTTTTTTTTTTTTTTTTTTTTTTTTTTTTTTTTTTTTTTTTTTTTTTTTTTTTGGTACTAGGACTCAAACTCAGACCTTGCACTTGCCAGGCAGGCATGGCACCACTGAGCCACATACCTCGCTGGAGTTGGCCTTCTAAGGAGTTATCTCCATTCCACAGGTAAGGACATCGAAGCTTAGGGGAACACAAAGCCAGCAAGTGGCAGGGCAGTGTTTTGCACCCAGCTCTCTGCTCCAGAGCCTGTGTCCCTCATTAGCAACTAAGATGGGCAGTGCTGTGCCACCCAGGGCAGCTCCTCAGCTCCGCAGTGGCTTGTCCTCCTCCCTCCTCACCCAGACAGCCACCTCCTCCTCTTATCATACCCTGGGGCCCCTCTTGATATGGATGCCTTTTTTAGAGCAGGTGTGATATAGCATAGTCATTTGTGTTTTCACCTGACTTCCCTTTTCAACCCTTAGTGCCTCACTTTTCTTCTTTAGTGCTTGGCCTGCTGTCTAACTTGGAGCAAGGCCTTGGTTAACTTCTAAAATTAGAATTGTTTTTTTTTTTTGAGACAGGGTCTCACTGTGTAGTTCACACTGCCCCAGAACTCACTAAAAATGCTTGCTCTGCCGCTAAAGATCGTAACTTCTTTTGGCAACAGAAGATCATGGGAAAGAGCCACAAAGGCGAAGAGAGCCAGGAGGCATATGTTTTTCCTCACCTGGGTCCAGGGTGTCTGTCAGGCACTCACCTGCATGTGTCAGCACCACCCAGTGCACATGGGTGGGCCTTCTGATGCCATGTGACCGGCGGGGACAGGAAATGTCCAGCGACTGTCCCCCCACTGACCATGGGGAAAGGTGATTGTAGAAGGAAAATACAGCTCCTTCCTCCCTGCTCACCCCCATCTCCCACAAGTTGTCTTTCACAAAAAATATGCAGCACAAACCACTTTCTTTACAGTGCGTTGGATTTTTCTAGGGCTGCAAAAGTGAATCTGCTAATGAAGGCAACATGACTGTCTTTTCCTTTTACAGCATCTGTGGATACTGGCTGTTTGTGTCTTCTTGACGATGTTTCAATTGCCTGTTTTCTCTGTCTGTCTTCACTTTCAGAAAAGGCAGCTCTTCCTTCTGATTCTGAAATTCCCTGTGCAGACAGCACAACGCCTATTGGAACCTGAGGAAACGCAGGACCAGGCCCGGGGTTGCGGAAGTGCTGCTCTCCCCCACCGGCCTCATCTGACCTGGAAGATGCTAGCAGGTTTTTTTTGTTGTTGTTGTTTTCTTCTATATGGGTGATCCTTATTGCAGTTCTTTACTTCTCTCTTTTTTTTTTAAATTTAAGGTCAACTTCAAGATTATTTACTGGTATGTTTTTACTAGGAAAGTTCGCCGAAAATTTTATTATACACTTGTGTTTGCATGTTTGGAGATGCATGAAGGCACAAGAGGTTTAAACTTCTTTGTACTTTGTTTTTGCTGTGGTGAAATATGCATAATACGAGATTTATTATTTTTACCATTTCTATGCACACCATTCAGTGGCACTAAATGCTTTCAGGTCATTATGCAGCTGCCACCTCCCTCCATCCCCAGAACTTCGTTCTTCCACTCAGAAACTGTTCACATTGTGCAACATCTGTCCAGCCCCGCTTTACACTTGTTTAAAATAAGTTTTTATAATAAAATCTTAGACTTTCAAAAACAGATTATATGTTCACTCCGTCCTTAAAGACTGTATCTGCTTATTTCGCTGTGCTTCCAACATTATTTTTTCTGTGAAGTTTCTTCTGAAAAATTCATCTTGGTGTCTAACAGATGAGTCAGCCTAAAAAGAAAGTTGCAATGCCAATTTTTTGAGGTGTTCAGGCAACTCCTCATAAAGATGCTAAGAAAAGCTATCAAGAATTATCTAGTAAAGCCAAATATGGTGGCACATGCCTGTAATCCCAGCACTCCGGAGGCTGAGGCAGGAGGATCGCTGTGAGTTTGAGACCAGCCTGGGCTACACAGTGAGTTCCAGGTCAGTCTCAACTACATAGTGAGACCCCGTCTCAAAAAACCAAAAAAAAAAAGGGAATATACCCAGTAAACTAGTACAACCACTGTGAAGTCAGTGTTGAGATTTCTCAAAAAACTGCAACTAGAAATTACATTTGATCCAGCTATTCCCCTTCTAGGTATCTTTCCAAAAGAGTTAATAACATCATATCACAGTGATCCATGCATACCCAGGTTTATAGCAGCACAACTCATGATAGCTAAATCCTGGAAGCAGCCTGTACATCAATCAACAGATGACTGGGCCAATAATTTGTGGTACTTACACACAGTGGAGTTCTACTGAGTCATAAAGAAAGATAAACTTGAATCATTTGTAGGAAAATGGATGCACCTTGAGACCATAATGTTATGTGAATAAATCAGGTGCACAGGCTTGAATAACACATAGCTTCTCTTACATATAAAACCCAGAGTAAAAGTAAGAGCAGAATAAAAGATAAGAAGTAGGGAGATAGATCATTTTGAAAGGGGAAGGAATCAAGAGGTGGAAGGAGGAGGAGGAAGGGAAGGTGAAGGGGTTGAAGAAGGGATTGAGATGTGCTGTGTGCAGGTGTGAACTCTGCACAAGGAGTGTAAATATGTGTTGCACACATGTACTAACAAACTAAAATAAAAAATCATTTGGGAAAGAATATATCTTTCCCAATAACTCAATTACCGTGAAGCTTGTTCACCAAAGATGATGGCTCTTTGTGGACTGTATCCTTGCCTTACTCTGTTGTCTTTCATTTTTCAACCCAGCAGCATTTTACAAAGCCCGGAGCTTGCTCCGCACTGTACCAGGCGCAGTGGGAAATAGGAAAGTCGAAGTCGTGGTTACTGCCTGGAACAGCAGTTCCTGGGGAAAAATGCAGTAGGAGGACATGCTGGTCCCTCATTTAGAGCTGACTACAGAAAGCATAGTAACTTCTAACCTAAAATTAGTACACCATTATGAACATGCAAGATAACCATTAATATGTTCAAATATTAACTACTGAATGCTGAAGTATATCACAGTAATAATAATAATATTATTAACTCCTAACAGTCATTAAGCCTTTGCTATGTTCCCAGCAACATACTGGGCTTTTAACTCACATTGGCTCATTTAATCCTGACAAACCCTTACAATTAATTGGCTGCCGTTTTTGTTCCCAGTCTATGGCTAACAGTTGACATGCAGAGATTCAGGGCCAGGTTCTAAGCAGCGATGAAATGAGGATCCCAGCTCCGATGTGCCCGAATCCAGGGCCAAGTACGGTGTTTGCCATCGTTTTTGGACAGCCTTTGCCATCCCATGACATCATCCAGGGCGTTTTATTTCTGTTCTGGAATTAGAAATTTTATCTTTCATTGAAGTGGAGATGAGAAGGGATCCATGTATTAAAAGTGTGCAAGCAGAGGATGTGAGGCTCTCTAACTCCACCGCGTGTTCCCTGACACCAGGTTCCTCACTGGTGTGCATGCCCGTGCCTGTGCTCTTCTTACGAACTGTCTTCCCGGCCCTCCCTCGGTCCCTTCCCTGAGACCATGGAGGCCACTGGGCCAAGGTCCGTGGTCGACCAGCTGCCTAATCCCACTGTTTGCATGTTAGGCTTGTGGACCCGCTGGTGAGGAAGTTCGGCAGTGCTTAACAGCCTGCCTGCTTATTTGGTGATATACAGCCGTTTTTATTTTTTGAGCATGCATCAAAGAGAAACCCATGAATTGAATCTATCTGTCTGTCTGTCTATCTATCTGTCTGTCTGTCTATCACCTATCTATTTATTTTTGAAAACCACTGCAAATTCTAGCAACGGGGAAGGAATCCTCTCCTCTCTGGACCAAGAGTGGCCTTTATGCTCAGGAGGGCCGTTCTCACTAGAGACGCCAGGGGGCGCCCGTGGGTGAGACGTGCAGTTGGCCAGGACAGGGAACAACCGAGTAGGGTCCAAAGGATCTATAAGGAAGGGTCCTGACGCGCGGTGGGGACAGAGGTCGTTTCAGGTGGAGACAGCACATTCAAGGGTACCAATTCTCAAGAGCCAGCTAGGCGAGGCTTCCCGAGACCCTACAGCAGCAAGACCATAAATCCTCCAGGGAAAGAGGAGAGTGCTTTGGGTTTCTTGTTTCTGTATTTATACCATAAATATGGAACCTTTATTTATATTTTTCTGAGGCTTTCAACCACCTTGAGTATCTGGCTAAAGCCTTTCTTTGTCTTAAGCTATATACACAAAGATTAATGTTGTCAGAGTGGCATAAAAGCTGGTCTTGTGGGAATATTTTATCAACTAAGTACGCGGAAGGGCCGTCTAATAAAATGCTGGCTCTTTAGCTTTTATGGTGTGCTGCTTGGTACCAAGTATTTTGTTTTTTATCTCCCTTCCTGTGGCTAATGCTTGTAAAGCTGGCAATGATTTTATCTGACATTCAAAATATCAACGTAAAAGCCTCTAAACCCTGTAAAGAAAATTGCTGTTTTTCTTCATTCTTTCACCAGTATTGAGAAACTCCTGAAGATATCTATGGTTAGGCAATTTGCATTCAGATTGTTGTTACTTAATCTGGCTTTCTTCTTCTTTTTTTTCCCCCTTTCGGTACTGGGGATCAAACTCAGAACCCTGCACTTGTGAGAGAGGTGCGGCACCACTGAGCTAAATCCCCAACCCCTGGCTTCCTTCTTTTAATAGATTATGACAAAAATTAAAGCACGTCTTCTTCGAGTGAACTTTTGCTGCTGGGGACTGAACCCAGGGCCTTGGGCACACTAAGTTTACCCCATACCACCAGGCCACGACTGCGGCCCCCTCACTTAGTTTTAAATTTGCCCCAAATGGAGAATAATAACCACCAGGCTGGGGAATAGCTGCTCAAGCAAAAGCCTCCTGAGAATTACCAAACGGAATCATTGAGAAACCATGGATGGGCCCGCCCGTCCTCCTGCATATTTATTATACCCACAACAGACCCATCTTAGAGCCGGACATAACCAAGCCCTGCCTTGGGAATCAGATGAGGGGAGCCAGAGTGAACCATGGCACCTATAAGACATTTGTAAGATCGAAATTGTGACCCCGACTTTTCCAAGAAGCCATCCATAAATCTTTTGGAGAGGAGGTTGCTGGGGACAGAAGGAGGGCCTTGTGCATGCCAGGCGCTTGCTCTTCTCTGTGGTGGAGACACACCTGCCCCCCATCAGTGAGCCCTTCAGGAAAGTGCTCGGGCTGGGCTGCTGTGAGGTTTCCCGAATGGCTTCGAGGTTTGCCCCCGGCAGCCTCCTCTGGAGAACAGGGAGAGTGGTGAGGCCCACTTTCTAAACCCTGTTAGAACTAGTGGCATCCTTCGGCTGGCAGGGGCTGTGCACACCTGCCTACTGGTGGTGTGATACACGTGGGTAGTGTCAGCTCGCGCCTCTGCCTACGTATATGGGGTGGGAGAACTGTTAGTGAGGAGAAATGAAGCCGTGGACAGGTCTATAGTTTACTACAGTAAATGCTTCTGGTTCACAGAATAGAGGAAAAAAGTGTGAACTTTAGGCTAAGGCATAGTCATGATTTTCCATAAAATAATGTCTTATTTCTGACGACTAGGAACATTGACCAACCAGAAACTGGAATGGACCTTTCAGAGTTAGTTGACTTGAAATTTCTTCACCAGAAAGTAATATATAAGAAATCGGAGAGTTTGTTTCTTTTTCATAATAAAAGGGGCCATTAAGAGTAACAAACTAAGGGAGCAAGGTGGTGCACACCTATAATCCCAGCTCTTTGGGGGCTGAGGCAGGAGGATTGCAAGTTTGAGGCCAGCCTGGGCAACTTAGTGATAAGCGATCAAAATAAAAAAATGAAAAGAGAGCAGGGGCATAGTGGGTGATAGAGCCCTGGCTTAGCAGGCACAAGGTCCTGGGTTCAGTCCCCAGTGCCCCCCACAAAAGAGCAAGGAACCGATCTCAGTGCATATGCTGGGTGTCAGAGAGAGGCTGTTGGCCATTTAGTTAAAGTAAGATGGATGATCATAGCCCCTCAAATGTGAAAATAATAAATCACCCAATTTATTTTTTGAATGAATAAAAATGTTCATGATATATGGCACCGTTTTCGTTTCTTAAGTGAGCATCAGAGCGTATAAAAGAAGTAGAAAAGCTCACAGAGTAAAAACTAATCCTTCCTTATAAATTAGACTCTGTGGCATCCAGTCCCCACCCCACCCCCAGCTCAACAGTTCTTTGGGTTCTTATGTAAGCAGCTGGCTCGAGTCCTTTATGAATATCTGTGCATCACATGTGTTTTTCACTGAACACAGATCCTATACACTCAGTCCATAAATATCTACATATCTGTCTCATTCATTTCAATGTCTGCATAGGCTTTTTATTTTGGGTTGTGTTGCTGTGGGGCTGGAGGTTGAAACCAGGACCCTGTTCTTGTCCGGCCAGGACTCTCCCACTGAGCCAGAACTTCAGCCTTTCGTGGTATTCATTCAGCTGCCTGGCTGGACCATGTGGACCGTGTGGACCATGTTTTATTTAGCCAGTTCCTGTTTGAGGCATAAGGAGGTTGTTCCCAGTCTTTCAGAAATTCCAAATTAAATTACAGCGTATACGACATATGTAATCAGATGTAGTCTTCCTCACTATCTTTTGCCTG